GCTATTTGAAGAAGTTTTGTACATCTGAACAATCAGAGGATATATGTGGCAAGGCACTTTTAAAAGATAATCCAGGACTTGACCAGCTTGAATCTCCCCCATTCTGAGTACCTCTAAGGAGTTCCACAGCTCCATGAAAGACAGTCCAAAAACTACACGGCAAGATGGTTACATGGATTTAATATAATGATGTTTAATATTCACATAACAATTTTGGCGTTTCATATTCTAGAAGTTTATGAAATCATTTTATTAGTATTTATTCATTCACAACCACTACTGTTTTGGTTTTTAAAAAATTTTAGAAGTAATTATTTACTTTTATATGCAACACACACACACACACACACACACACACAGTTTTACGTGTTACACACACAGTGTCCAGGCTGTGTATGTTGAGAAAACATGTAGTCTGGTCATCCGTCCTGCACCGGCAGCTCTGCCCTCTAATATTGTGCAAACCAGTGCTTGCTAAGCCAAGTGAAAAATAATACTCTGAAAATGGGTCTATGGCTCTGCAGCTTTTCATCCTGCACATTTCACCACAACTCCTAGGACCTCTCCGCTGCCAAAAAGGGAAAAATTCAACCTGTCAAACAGTGCCCACCTAGCTGCAGCAGCAAGCACACCCTGAGAAGTGAGAAATGATCAGATGCACTTCTCAAGAAATCAAGAGATATGCATAAGGAAGCAATGAAGGAGCTACAGCTTCCCCAGGCCTAGTGAATTATTCTGACACCACTGAATGTATTCAAAACAACTTCATCATTCTGCTTGAAAGACTATAAACTCTAAAATTTGGAACACACATTTAAATATAAATTAATGCATTCTAAAGCAAAGTCATGGAGCTTACCCAACATATTCGAATTGCCTTCTATATCAATAAACCATCTAATGATTGCTAAAGTGCTTTGTATCTTATACTGGTTTGTAATTCTCTTGAGAAAAGCTATAGAAACTGTAGTCTGAACTTTTAATGTGTTAATTCCCAAGGTTAACCTTTCTCCCCATTTTCCCCCTCACCTGAGGATATACTTTTTATTGATTTGAAAGAGAGAGAGAGAGAGAGACACATCAGTGTGAGAGAGAAATATCCATCAATTGCCTTTAGTACGTGCCCAACCGGGGATCCAACCCACAACCTGGGTATGTGCCCTGACCAGGAATTGAACCCACCACCTTTCATTGTACAGGACGAAGCTCCAACCAGCTGAGCCACACTGGCCAGGGCTCTCTCCATTTTTAATAGGTTCCTTCTTTAGGAGTTTCTAAATGTATTTTTCTAATAGGTAAATTAAAGAGATAAAAAACATACAATTTTATAACATATTATACTCTTATTTAAACGAGAAGATACAAAATGTCATGCTGTGTACACATCAGATATACTTTCACCCTATACCCCTCCATAAAATACAATGAACTACAGCGTATTACCACAGGGTGGTAGTAGTGCTATGCCTAATGCTCAGATTCTTCTTTCAGAGCCTGGACCATCGATGGGCCTTTCATCAGAATTAGATGAATCCTGGCCGATCCTCCCGAGTGGCACATAGTAACTATGTTGCAAAGGGACAAAAAATATATTCATCTAACCGTGAATTTACTTCTTTCCTTTATTAAACACCCTCACTCACTTCTAAGAATAATCTATTTGCCCACACAGCCATAATGACACAATTATTTTGACGTAAGGGCATTTGTGTGGCCTAAAATAAACCACTAAACATTATCTTCATTTTCCTAAAGTAGAAACTAATGTGCAAAATAGACGCCACGCCAGCTGAGTCTCACGTTACTCCTGCTGCTCCCAATCCCAGACTGCAGTTCTTGGCTCTGGGAGGAGTTGGGCATGTGGGGTATGGCCAAGGATGTGATGGGATGGGTGAAGCTCAGGCTCTGGCAGACTAACCGCATATAACCAGGAGTCACGTATTTATCACATATACAGGGTACCCCCCAAAATGCATACACACTTGAATAGCTGACAGCTCAATTTTGAAAACATAATGTATTTTAATAAATACGGACTTTATAATTATTCCAAGTGTGTGTATACATTTTGGGGAGACATCCTATAGTTATCTCATTACGGCTCTTAACCATTCTTCGCAAAATACCTGCGTATATTCTGAAATTTAAATTGTATCCTCAATAATCTGCCTCTCTAATTCTCTGGTTTTCCCCAAGAGTGATTATCTGGGTCCCAACTGCATAGGAAACGCTTGGTTATATTTCTACCAATTCTTAGGCAGGTAGGTAAGCAGACACTAATATTTATATTTAATATCACACACTGTACTCTAATGATGGTTTTGATGGGCAGGACTGGTACCCCTAAAAGGATAACCCACTTCTAATAGATTTTTTAAAAAACATTTAATTGCTTGCAGAAATGAGCAAAATGAAATGTGACTATCCTCTGTGATTAGAACAGGGCAGAGAAAAGGTCAGAGAGGATGGCTGTGCAAGTTACTTAGTAAAACAGCAGTGAATACATGCATACCTTGTACCAGCGGTTCCATACTCTGGTCATGACAGAATGTTCCTTTATCTGGGTCCTCCCCGCCATCTACTTATTCCTCCTGAGATCTCCCCTGCCCTACTCTCTCCCCTACCAGAAACGCTGAACTCCTCCCTCCCTTTTGCTACTTCTGAACAGAATTCATAGTTCCTCTTTGCACTACACTACAGTCCTCTGTTTACATGGTGCTGAGCCCTGGGTACAGCCCGTGCCTCCATGGCTGACTAAATGTTAAAGGTTTTGGGCAAATTACTTAACCTTCCTGTGCCTGAGTTTCCTCTCCTGTACGTGGATAATAATAACTAACTCGCAGGGGTGTTGTGAGGACTGAATGAGTCAATGCATAGAAAGCACTGACAGCAGTTCCCAACATGACACTCAGCAGCTAGTAGCCTTTCTTAGCTCCTCCTGCTCCTGCCCTCCGTTAGGCAGTCAACCTCCCACAGGCAGGACCGTGTTGACTTCATCTGTGTATTCCTACCACGAAGCACCATGCCCATCATCTCAGTGGTACCTATCACGTGTTTGTTAAAATAAACTGAACTTTTCCCTCTGTCTTCCATCCCCAATTGTTCCCTCTCCACCCATGCTTTCCCCTTGGCATATCTGATCTTAAAGAGTAAAAACTTTTTCCACCTCTCGATTACATCCCAGGTCACAATCCATGCCTTCTTTTCTGTGACTATAAAAGTCCTTTAAAAAAATATTCTTGTTGCCCCTTTCCTTTTGTTTAGTCTGACTGCCCCACTTTCACTCTTCCTTCAAGAAAACTGCTCCTTGGCTATTTCTAATTATATCCTCCCTGCCAAATCTCCCTGGGTGAACTTATCTTTCACACTTTTCCAATTAATCCTCTAAATAGACACATAACTCCAGAAATCTATATTTATTCTCAATTTTTCACTCAAGCCTCATTTACAACTGCTTATTTGACGTCTCCACATTCATCTGAAACCCAACAGGTACATTTCATGTATATATGTCTTAGTGTAACAGAAAACAAACAAACAAATACACATTGATTGGGTTCAGGAAACCTAGAATCAAATTCCAAAACTCCCATTAAATAACAACCCAAACACTGAGTAAAAGCTACTTACTCTATCTGGAATCCAAAATGAAGTCCGCACCATCCCACAGCTACCCTGCTCCTCTTTCCTGGGACCGTCTGCTGACAGCAGCATCATTTTCCTAAGCACATAATCCCCAAACTTCCAAACTATCTTTTGTTCGCCCTTGCCTCTAAATTCCTTTTTAAAAAATATATATTTTATTGGTTTTTTACAGAGAGGAAGGGAGAGGAATAGAGTCAGAAACATCGATGAGAGAGAAACATCGATCAGCTGCCTCCTGCACACCCCCTACTGGGGATGTGCCCACAACCAAGGTACATGCCCTTGACCAGAATCGAACCTGGGACCCTTCAGTCTGCAGGCCGATGCTCTATCCACTGAGCCAAACCAGTTAGGGCTGCCCCTAAATTCTTTAATCTTCCATCAGAATGTTCTCAAAACCTGGTCTTCCTTTCTGCTTCTGCTGCCAATGCCCCAATTCTAGTAACTTCATTATTTCTCTCCTAGACTTAGTAAATTACCTCCTGTGAGAAAAAAGGAGACTAGCACAGAAAAAAGAACTCTCCTGCGGAAGACAAGTGCTGCATCAGCTAGCCCGACTGCCACCAACATTAACCCTACATTTGAAAGTCACTGCTTCTCCTGCTCCTGCCCTCCGTTAGGCAGTCAACCTCAAAGTATACATTAACTTTGGTCCAAGTGTGGAAAACTACTCTTAAAAGCCCATGACAAAGTGAAGGTAAAAGAGAACACTCAAAGAAGTCTTTAACAAAGGTCAGCAATAAGAAAAGGAATGAGTGAAACACAGAGGACCGGGCTAGACATTTGAACAAAATACCTCTTGTCCTCCTGGCCTACAGCCCAAAAAGGGACCACAGGACCCTCTGTCGTGGCTCCCCCAACAGGTACACACCAGCTGTTCGCCTACGATCAAGAAACATGAGCCCAGAGAGACACCACACTCAAGGTCTCCAAACCAAACCAAGAAGCCCGAGCCTCCTGTTGTCTGTGTAGGGCCTGTTCTCACAGCTGTTCCTCTGCACACAGGGTGCAGGCCGACTGGAGCAGGCCTCGCCTGAACACTGCTCCCTGTGCTTCATTAAGGAAAATCACAACATAAACATGAAAGACATACACCAAACTAGTCCCTCCCCCTGATTGATTCTCTATACTCCCTCCTCCCAGAATGATTTCCTTACGATGCAGATCTCATCCTATCACTTCCCTACTCAAAATCTTGTTTTTTCATCAACCACAGAATTAAACAGAATATCTGCATTTATGGCCCTAGGACAAGCATGTCAAACTCACGGCCCGCAGACCACATGAGGCCCACAATGAATATTCTTGCAGCCCAGCCAATATAATGGTATATAAGAAACATTTCCCTTATGCACCTTACGTGCAGGCGCTCCATTTCTCTCCAATAATACTAGCAGCAAATATTTTAGCAGCTGATTGCCACATCATTAGTCTTAGACTGATTTGTTTGGTGTGCACAACAGGAAATATTTCACTTTCGGAGAACAAGAAAAATAGGTTAATTTGTGTTACATTTATTAATTTCTGCAGTTAATTCAGTGTCTGGTAAGTTAATGTTCAAGAAAAAATATTAATTTTTATTAAAATATTCTATTATTTTATGTTAATGATTACTCATTTATTTCATCCCTTTGTAGTCAGCATCTTATCGAAATAAACCTACGTTTTTTTATTTTCTTTTTAAATTTTTTTTTTATTGATTAAGGCAGTGGTTCTCAACCTTCCTAATGCCGTGACCCTTTAATACAGTTCCTCATGTTGTGGTGACCCCAATTTCATTGTTACAAATTGAACATAACTAAAGCATAGTGATTAATCACAAAACAATATGTAATTGTATATGTGTTTTCCGATGGTCTTAGGAGACCCCTGTGAAAGGGTCGTTTGACCCCCAAAGCGGTCGCGACCCACATGTTGAGAACCGCTGGATTAAGGTATTACATTAAGGTATGTCCATTGGTTAGGCTTACATGCATGCATACAAGTCCTTTGGTTGATCTCTCCCCCTTACCCCCACCTCCCCTACCTTCCCTCTGAGGTTTCATGGTCTAATCGATGCTTCTCTGTCTCTGGACCTGTTTTAGTTCATTAGTTTATGTTGTTCGTTATATTCCACAAATGAGTGAGATCATGTGATATTTATCTTTCTCCCACTTGCTTATTTCGCTTAGCATAATGCTCTTCAGGTCCATCCATGCTGTTGCACATGGTAAGAATTCTTTCTTTTTTATTGCAGCATAGTATTTCATTGTGTAGATGTACTATAGTTTTCTAATCCACTCATCTGCGGATGGGCACTTAGGCTGTTTCCAACTCTTAGCTATGGTGAATTGTGCTGCTATGAACATAGGACT